CTGAGCAGTCTACTATATCCTGTGCTTTCAACATCTTTCTTAGGGTATTGGGTGCCTCCTTCATAAAGTGAAAACAGAAGACTCAACACTCACTGATTCCAAGATTGTAATGCACAGTTGTATACTAAAGGTGATACTAGCAAAGGTGACATTGCTTTTCATGTCCCGAAAGCTTGACCTACAAGTAAAAACACTTAAGTATAACTTATGTTGGGCTGGGGTTGTGGCTCAGTGGTAGAGCACTCGTCGAGCACATGCGAGGCCCTGGGTTTGAGCCTCAACACCACATAAAAAAATAAATAAATAAAACAAAAGCATTGTGTCTGGCTACAACAACAACAACAAAAGTAAAACTTATGTCTCCTAGCAACTACTCTTCTTTCATAATATCCACTCTAAAGCAAGCTCTAGGAGGGCAGTGTTCACTATTGAGCACTGAAGCAGCAACAAGGCCAGGTTATGGGCCACCCATAATCCTGGCTATGCTATCACAGTGCAGCTCAATAAATCTTTGTAAAAGGAATATTTATTGACCATTCCTATTTAAAAAAAAAAAAAGCAAGACCTCCAAATCAGTCTTAAATTTCTGGAATGAAATGATAAATATCAGATTTTTCTATTTTCACAAACAGCTATTTCTAAGAGCAGAACCACACTTTGATGCTAATTCATTCTCTTTTGAGGAGAAAAGGGTAGATATGTTCCATAATGGCGTTTCCTTTGGGGCCACAGAGGGCTTCCTTCGCATGAGTACTGAAGTCCTTTGGACACTGACACACCCAGGGTCCCATTAAAGATCTGTCTGTGGAGTATGGATACAGAGAAAACACCACAAAACCTGGTCTACAGGTTCCTTATAATAAGCACCTTGGAGCAGGCCAAGAACCAGATCTTAAGTTAGGAAGAGAGATGTTGAAGCTGATGTCCCTACATGCATCCAGAAAGGAATCTGAAGCCTTGCTCACACCACTGAAGAGCCCTCTGCACATAGTGGGGTCATAGTGGGGCTTGATAAATATTTGTAGAACAAATACTTGTTGACGGAGCCTATATGCGCGTCAGGTCCTGGGTTTGATCCTCAACACCACATACAAATAAATAAATAATAAAATAAAGGTATTTTTTTAAAAAGCAAGACTTAAAATTGATCTTAAATTTGTACAATGAGAGGATAAATATCCAATTTCTTTTTTCTTTTTAGAAACTGCTATTTCTAAGAGCAGAATCATACTTCAATGCTTCACCTCTTCTTTTCCAACTTTCTAGAAGTTTGTCATGTATCTTCACAACCTCTCAAGAGGAGATGAGGGATGATGTTAACTGCATTCTCTTAAGTCCCTTTATCACCTGGGAAGGACCACAGTCATTACTATTGATACCTAAGACCTACACACATGGTAGTTTTTGAGCACCATGGGTCACAAGTCATTCTCTGGGAGACTTAGCGCTATAAAAGTGGTTTAGCCTTACGTGATGTCTGGGGACTCAGGCTCTTCCAACTGCAACTCCTTGCGCATCGTTCCCTCGATCTCTGCAGCCAAGGAGTCCTGAGAAAAGCCAGAAGACACATGAAAAGAGAGCAGCAATTCAAAGGGTCTGTCTCTATAAGAAGCTTGTAGCCAGGGGAGCCATTAAAGAGTAAACTGAGGCATCAGAAACCCATACTTTCTGAAACACAACATAAGGTTAAGAGCATTCTCTATGGTCTCTATGGTTAGAGACCCTGGCTATGCTATCACCAAGGCAGGTTCTGAACATGGCTGCACCATCAGGCCCTGAGTATAATGTCTAAAGTGCTGCTGAGTGTCTGAAAGATCCCATGTTCCCTTAGCCAAACCACAGAGCTACAACTATGGCCACAAAGAAGAATAGAGAATTGGGAGGGCAGAGGGGAGTGTGTTCAGAACAGTGGGGACAGATGAGTTTGAAAATACCCCCAAGCTTATAAATGGTTAGCTATGACATCACAGCCCACGTGGGTCACACTAAGTTATTGTCCTCCCAGACCACAGGGTCTGCTGCAGCCCCTTGGCTCACCCAGGGTTCTGGTACTGAGGTTGGATGAAGGCCCTCCAACTTTACTTCCTAGGCAGGTACTCCCAACCTTTATAGAGCAGTCTAGTTCTGCACTAGATAGAGTCTCTATGTAGACCACTGGGTTGTGGGCACTATCATCTCTCGGCCTGTGTCCTTAACCTCCCCTGGCCTCCCACAAGGGAAGGCCCTCTCCCCACCAACCCACCACCTTCTCTATGAAAGGCATGATTCCTGTTCCACTAGGAGCCTTGCATTTGCTCCCAAGCAGACCCCAAACATAAGTTCTTGCTAGTTTTCTGAACAGCTCACTCATTTCTCTTTCCACCTGGGTTGTGAGCTTTGGGATGAGGGAAGAGCCAGTCAACGATGACTTCTCACTTGCCCAGTGGTCCAGACTCCAAGCTGAGACTCAACAATATAGACTGCCTGATGGAACCCCCTCTCCTATACCACCCACTGCTCCTCGCTATATGAGGAAGAACCTAACACAGTCTCTCCTCACAGTGATGTGGCAGATGCCCATGGGGTCACATGTGTTCAGAAAAGCAGCTGCTGAGCACCAGGGGAAGACATGGAGGTAGGACAACCTAAGGGGAGGGCTAACTCCACGCTAACCCACAGAACTTTTGGCAGTGATGGAATGTCCTCTATACTGTCAACATGATGGCCACTAGCCTAGCACTTGAAATGTGCCCAGTATGACCGAAGACTGACTTTTTAATTGTACTTAATTTTAATTATTTAAATTTACACAGTCAGGTGTGGCCAGTGCTTCCCAGGGGGTAGTGATGGAGTCTCCTGAGCATCATCTCCTAGGCCCCATGGTCCGCAGGGACACTCCAGTCTGAAGCTGAACCAAGTGTGGAGACGGCAGAGGAGCCAGCAGGAAGCTCCGTAAGTAAAGGGCTAGTGAGCTTGTTTTCAATCCTAACTCACAAATAAGCCATTTTACTTCATAATTACCACCCACAGATTGCCATAAGCATAAGCCTTGTTGAAGGGCTTCCCCAGGTGAATCTGAGGTCTGTTAAGGTGAGGATATTTTTCTTAAGACTTCTATTCACCATGTGGTTTATATCCAGAGTTCTGTGGAACAGAGAGAAAGAAGGGACCTTTGTATACCCTAAGAAAAATGAGATACCAAACTACTAATTTCAAAACCATGCTGGGGCAAGTCATAAGTGGGCTCCATGACATTTTGGAGCCATGACCCCCTCTAATCTAACAATCCAGGGAAACCTATGAATGCCTTCTCAGAATATAGTTTTTTAAAAAATAAAATAATTAGGACTATAACGAAGACAAATTATTTACTTATGTATGTATTTGGCTTCAGGAATGATAACTGATTTTGACATGGAGATTAGTTAGCATCACTGGCATTTGGAGGCATCTGTGACAACTGATATTGCTATATAAATACCTATGATTTCTACTGGTCATAGACGGTGTTCACGTCACTGTGGCTTGTTCCTACCTTCATGGAGGAAGGAAATACTGAATACAGTTAGGGATTAATGAAAATAACACATGATTTTCCCTCAAAGTTCACAGGCCTCCTGAATTCCATCTGTGGATCCTAGATTAAGAACTCCTGTCATAAGGCAAAAGAACTGGGAACACGGTTACACAAACTACTACTCGCTGTTTTATTCTACAATTAGAATGGCAGGGAGCAAAAGAGACAGAGCTGGGCATTCTGCTCCAGAAACAGTCATGGTATGATCTTTAGAACTGTTTTAAATACCTTCAATGCATAATGCACTTTAAAAATAGCCATCTTCAAAAACTGGGCTTGCCAACAACTACAGAAAAAAGCAAACAAAAGCTTTACTTCAGCAACTATGAAAGCTGAGACTCCTTCCAGAAGGAAAAAAAAAAA